ACTGTTGCATAATTGCTGAGATAATAGATTCAGAAGCCGGACTGCTTGGATTCAGTACTCCTCTGCCTGTCTTGGTTTGGCCCTCTCTCGGGTGCGGCAGGAACATATGCTTCTCTGGGGCTTGGAGGGACACAGAGAGCCTTAGAGACACAGGGTCACTTGACAAGACACCAGGCAGCCATTTCTGCAAAGCATTATGCCCTTTTCTTAGCTCCACCCAATAGGAAGGATGGGCACAAGTCCCCTCTGTTTTCAGGTTCCCCAGGCCTGTGTGGGGGTTCCCCTCGGGTCCCAGCACCACCAACCCTGTCCAGGGACCCAGACCTTCCCCGAGGACCCTCCAGCACCGCCGCTCTCCCCTCCTCCCTGACTTCCACTGCTCCCTCAGGCTGAGGAGTTGTCGTTGGTTTATTTGGGGACAGGACAGCCTGGTTTTTACACATATCCCTCTAAGTCTGTTTCTTCTTGGATTTGTAGCTCAAAGGCCAAGAATCTGACCGGCTTGTTCACTGCCTTCTACTGGGTAATTACTTGTCTCAGGCAGGAGTCTGAGGCAGTGGAAGAGGGTGGCAGGGATGGTAGGAGATCATGAAAAGGAAAAGCACTTAGGCTACAGTGTCAAATTATCATTCTGCCATCAAGCCTGCCAGTAACTTAAGTAGAAACCGAATTTACTGGATGCCGCTCAGGCACCTCACATGGGTGAGGGAGGAACTTGAGCACCCAGGACTGGGGTCTAGTTCGGGGCTCTTGGTGAGGCCCACGCACAGGGCTCAATCGTCATGACTTTCGATCTCTGGGATTCTCTTTTTTTGTTTCCCAGAGAGAATTTTTGTTTGACTGAGCTTGGGTCAGGTGTCTAAGCCATGGAGCCATCAGCTCTGGCCAGGGGACAGGGGCACTGTATTTAAGTAAAGCCAGTAGCCGTAACCGGCCTCTTTAATCGATGACTGAGTGAAAACATTCGTTTCTTGTTTATGCCAGTTTCAGTGCAGGTGTTTCTGGTCGTTGGGCCCAGGCTCCCTTTTTCTTGTGGCTTCACCATCATTAGGGTCCCTGATGGGGGAAGAGAAGATCATATGTGAAGTGTTTTTTTTCCCCCCTAATTGTGGTAAAATACACAGGATACCCGCTCACCATCATAACCGTTTTTTTAACTGAAGTAGAGTTGACACAGTGTTACACTGGTTTCAGGGGTACAACATAGGATGGGACAACTCTGTACCTTATGCTGTGCTCACCGCAGCATCAGTACCATCTGTCCCCATACAGCCTCTTACAGTATCGCTGATTGTGCTCCCTGTGACTCATCGTTCCATACAATTTTTTTTTTTTTTTTTTTTTTAAAGAGAGGAAGTGGGGTTGGGTAGGGGCAGAGGGAGAGGATCTTAAGCAGGCTGTACGCCCAGCACGGGGCTCACGGCCCTGAGATCATGACCTGAGCTGAAATCAAGAGTCAGGTGCTTCACCGGCCGAGCCCCCCCGGGCGCCCCCGTCATAACAATTTTTAAGTGTGTCGGTTGGATGGCGTTAAGTACAGTCCCATTGTGCAACCAACACCACCATCCACCTCCAGAACTCTTCATCTTGTTAAAGTGAACTCTGTCCCCATAAAACATGAACTCTTCATTCCCACCCCCACCCCCGGGCCCCGGGCAACCATCCTTGGCTCTGAATTTGACTGCTCGAATACCTCATGTCAGTGGAATCACCTAGTATTTATCCTTTTGTGACTGGCTTATTTTGTTTAGCATGACATCTTCAAGACTCAGCCCCGTTTGTAAAATGTGTCACAACCTCTTTTCCTTGTGCAGGCTGAATAATATTCCATTTTATGTATAGACTGTTCATCCACTGGTGGGCACTTGGGGTTGTCTCCACCTCCTGGCTATTGCAAATGATGCTTCTGTGAACATGGGTGTACAAATGTGTCTCAGACACCCTGCCTTCAATTTCCTTGGCATACTCCCAGAAGTGGAATTGCTGGATCATATGGTAATTCTATTTTTAATTTTTTGAGGAACTGCCATCCTGTTTTACATAGCGGCTGTACCATTTTACATTCCCACCAACAGTGCAAAGGATTCCAATTTCTCCACATCCTTGCCAACACTTGTTATTTTGTTTTCTTAATTTTATTTTGTTTTTGATAGTAGCCATTTCAGTGGGTATGAGATGGTGTCTTGTGAGCCCTGGCAGGTTTTTTTTTTCTTTTCTTTTTCTGTAATGCCAGTGCCCGACTTCAACTTTGATTGCTTGAGGCATTCATTTCAAAGAGGCAAACAAATTTGTCAGCCACACAGAGCCAGGCCACCTCCTCCACAGTTGAGGCTCTTTTGTTTTAGAGATCTTGATTGATTTTCAATAGCTGACCGTTTGGGCCACTTTTCTTTTCCCGTGCTTTAAATTTCTGCTCTTATGTTTTAAATTCACCAATAAAGAGTGAGCCCTGAACCCCTAGGCCCCCACCCTTGACCCCAATAAAAGCAGAACCCCTGGTCTGTGCTCTCTCTTGTGCTCCCCTTCCCATGACCTCGCTGTGTAGCCCCAGGTGTACCGGGCAGTTTCCCAGGTCTTGTAGGTAATAAGCCTTTATTTCTCTAAAGTTTCCTGATGATTGTTGCTGAGGGGCATCTTACAATCATAGTAAGAACCACAAGGGTTGGTCCAGTCCTGACATTGGTTTGGAGAGGGGAGATGTCTGTGGCAAGCACACGGTGGCCCAGGTGAGTGCCCCAGGCATTTCTAGGCTTTGGCATTACTATCATTGGCTGAGGCTGGCAAAAAACGGATGGCATGGGGGTTAGGCCTGGAAGGGGCCTGTATCCCTTCAGCTCACATTGGCCACACTTGCTTACAAGGCTAGGAGACAGATTAAGCTGTCTCTCCAGGAGGAAGAGATGAGCAGAGCATTCCCAACACTCAGAAAAGCATACTGGACTTCCAGGAGCCCACCTGCATAGTGGGACCGGTCCTGGATGAGGGGAGGGTATTGTATGCCATGGTAGCCGCCTGAAAGCTGTCTTCCACAGGCAGACCTAGGTTCAAATCCTGCCTCTCCACCCTATCACTGTGTGACCATAGGCAAGTGGCTTTCCCCCGCTGAACCCCAGTGTCCTTGATGTTAGCTAAATAAAATCATGCCCATTTCCCTAGAACCACTGCAGGAATCACACCAGAGGGTATGGCTCATGAGGACAGGACTTGAAGAAGCCCTGGAGCCCCGAGGGTGCTGGCACATTGTAAGCCCTTAGGACTGAGGTACCCAACCTGAAGTAGGTGGGCCAGGGACTGCGTGTGTCTTGTTATATTGTCCTCTTTAGTAATTTCTTCAGGAGCAACACATTTCCCCAGCAAAATGGTCGGTTCTTGTGTACAGGGTCTTGTCCCTTGGGAAAGGCAGACCAGTGGTTCAAAGCAGGAGGGGACACACGTGTGGAGTGGATCCCCACACCCCACCTTCCTTGGAAGCTCTTCCTGCTCCTTCAAGGCTGAGATCCTAGCAGGTTTCCGAAGAGGGGGGCTTTGGTCGGCGGGGGATGCTCTCTGGCAGCGAACCAAGCATACTGTGCTCTCGAGGCCCCAAGGCGGTTTCCTCCTCCTGCTCAGAGACCTCCCTGGCTGCTCTCGGGCAACCTGGCACATAGTAGGCACTTGTTAAAAGTCCACTAGTGTTCTTGGGACCTGCCCAGGTGGAAAGTCACCAGGGATTGGCATTGGGAGTGTTGTATTCAAGTGCTGACTGCCCTGGGAACTCTGTGGCTTTAGGCGGAGCAGGACCTGGGCCTCCTCATCTGAACAGTGGTGATAAATATGAAGAACCAACCTCCTGGGATTGGAGCGAGGGCCAGAAGAGGAAGTGGGCTGCCGGTGCTTTGCTCCTAAAGATAACAGTACTCCTCTCATTTAATACAACAGACCTAAGAAATGTGAACATTCTTATTCCCATTTCAGAGATGAGAGAGAAAAACTAACTCAAAATTGGCTGAAGCAAAATAATAATAATTTGTAATAATAATAGTTGTTACTGACTTATGGAACCAAAAAAGATGTATCTTGCTTCAGGTAGAACTTGATCCAGGATCTCACGCAAAGCCACCTGTCTGATGGCTTCTGGATGGCAGCGAGATGGCTCCAGTCTTCTGTCTGAGGTTCAAGTCTGGTGGGAAAAGAGAGCTTCTCACTCCCTGAAGTTCACACAAAGCTTCTAACCAGATTTCTGTGGGCTAAATTGGACCACGCTCAGATCTCTGAGCCAGCACTGGCCAAGGGGAGGAATGTGCTGATCGGCCAGACTGCGCTCATACCCAGACCCTGGAGCCTGCTGTGCTCTGCTCCATGGGAATTAGTGCCTTGGGGAGGGGGCTCTTCAAAGCAGATTTGAGGTCTCATTCCCAACAGAAAGGGCAGTGGCCTTTGGGCAGCCCTGTAGCAGCAACAAATGCAGGCCTCTGAGGTCGAGCCACTGGTCCTATGCATCTCAAATGGTCAGGTGCAAACAAGTCTGCGGGGGCTCTTGTTAAAAGGCAGACTCTGATTCAGCAGGTAGGGGTGGAGTGGGGTGCAGTTGTGTTCCTAATTAGGTCCTGGGCGATGCTGCTGGTCTCTGGACCACACAACCAGTGTCATGGCACTAAGCCACGGGAACCAGGCACTGACAAGCGTCACCTCCCATGCTTCTTACCACCACCCCAAGAGGCAGGTACCATCAGACCCATTTCACAGAGGTGGAACCTGAGGCTTGGTGAGGAGAGGCGAGGGGATGGTATAGGACACAAAAGCTAAGCCCTAGAATTTTGGAGTCAAAGTGGAGATGTTAGGGCCATGAACAAAGAAGGAAGGAGGGAGAGACAGGACAGAGGTCTGCCTGAGGCCGGGTAATGGATGTGGACAGAATCCCCGGGGACTGAGGGGAGCTCTGGAGGTGACTGCCTGAGTCATCAGAGTCCTCAGTCAGCGCCGGGGAACATTTGGTTTTGTCTCCTCTTTCTTTCTTGCAGCCTTAACTACGGGGGAGTTTGCCTGGCGTCAGATGCGCAGTTCAGCGACTTCCTCGGCAGCATGGGGCCAGCGCAGTTTGTGGGCCGCCAGACCCTGGCCACCACGCCGATGGGTGAGTGCCCCAAGACCTGTTCCGGGGGCGGGGCACCACAAGCCCTGTGTCTTTCTCCTCGCCCCCTCTACTTTCGCTGCATCCACTGAGCATCCAGCTTAGAGCCCTGTCTGCACCCGCCAAGCCCTCAGCAGAGCCCGGGCACTCATGTTGGAATTATTTCTGGTCTTGTGTTGGGCTGGGAGAAGGGGAAGGGGGTTTCATCTCTAAGTAGAGAGGAGGGGCTGAGTCCTTGGGCGAGCTTATGAGCCACTTCCTGGTCCATTTGCTTGGGGTCTCTTGCAGGGGATGTGGAGATCGGCTTGCAGGAGCGGAATGGCCAGCTTGAAGTGGACATCATCCAGGCTCGGGGACTGACAGCCAAGCCAGGCTCCAAGACACTGCCAGGTGTGGGGACTGCCCTTCCTTCTGCAAGGCAAGGGTGGACGTCGAGGAGGAAGTCCTGAAGGGTATCTGGGTCTAGAAGAGAGAAAATCGGGCCCAACTACGGGGGGACCCCTTTGTCCCAACTCTAGTGACTCACATGGGACTAGTGGTTTAGGGTTTGTTTTGGGGACGCTCTTGAGATTGTCAGTTGACTTTATTGGTCTTCCCCACTGGTTTGAGCTTCTGGAGGACAGAAGCTTTCCTGTGTATGGCTATACCCCCATACGTGGGTGCCTGGCACACCCAGGCTGACCGAATGTGTCCGTGATGACTGTGGAAGCCGGGGAAGGGGTGAGCAAATCAGGGACTGAGAGAGGAAAGAGGTAAGAGCAGAGTGAGCAAAGGCAGGGAGGAGGCAGGCAGGCACCCCCCCAGGGGGTGGAGTAGGCCCCACCCAATGCTGGCTGCACCCCATCATCTGTATCTACCACCCGTGCGGCTGCCCCCCCAAAACTCCAGAGGGGGGCAGTCTGACCCTCAGCAGGGGGTGGGCAGCCTCACTCTGCGTGCCATGTGCCCACCATTTGAGGGCCCAATTGGAAGTCACCCTGCTGGCCTCTGTCCTCAGCGGCCTACATCAAGGCCTACCTGCTGGAGAACGGCGTCTGCATTGCCAAGAAGAAGACCAAAGTCGCTCGCAAGTCGCTGGACCCACTGTATAACCAGGTGCTGCTGTTTCCTGAGAGTCCCCAGGGCAAAGTCCTGCAGGTGAGGGGCCCTGGGTGGGGGGAAAATGTGTGCAGTTCCCGAGGGAGAGGGGAGCACTCCTGGGAAAAGGGGCGGTCTCCGGAGGGCCTCCACTGGAGGAAGTAGAGCATCGTGGTTGATCTGAGCTCTGTAGTACAACTTGGAACAGGTTCCTTTCTGAGCCTCAGCTGCCTCATCTGTAAGAAGGGTTGCTTGTGTTACCTCCAGAGAAGGTCTGCAGTAGCTGCTGCCATTGTTCTTGTTATCCACCGTCCACACAGCCATTCTGGAAGCCCGGGGCTGGGCCTGGAGCACAGAGATCATCGACTGGGAGGCGTTAAGGATCCAGGGAGGCGTGTGGTCCCCTGGCCCTTAGGAGGGTCCTCAGGGTGACCTGAGGATGTGGAGCTGGAAATAGCCGCCCATCATGGGCATCGGCTGGGCCCAGGTCGGATGCCTGCAGGAACCGCGTGCCCGCTGCCTGAGAGCCGCCACTTGGGCACCTCTAGCTGGTGCCTCCGTGTCTTGCTTCTAACCAGGGCAGGCAAAGCCAGTGAGGGCAGGCCCTGAGCATTGCAAATGGCCAAGACAGCGGGACTTTCGCCAAACTGGGAAGCCCAGGCCTGTCCAGGGCAGAATTTTTCAACCTAAGGGTTAAGACCCATCCATGTGCTGTGAAATCAATTTAGCGATTCTCAGCAAGTTGTTTGCTTGTTTGTTTAATGGAATGGAAAGAAAACATTTGTCATTCTTAGGCAAGTTGTAGTTGGTGAGGCACTTGCTTCAACTGGGAATCCCACGTACTTGCTGCGTAATGCTGTAAAGGTCTTACTGTACATCCCTGTCAAAAAGCTTGGAAAAAGTCTTCCAGCCTAGAGGCAGGCAAATACAATGTAAAACCCCAGAAGACCATCTAGGGGCCACATCTGGTCCACCAGAGGAAGGAAGTGCCTTCTGGCCTGAGCATCTTTGGAGAAGCTCCAGAGAACGGCCCTGTCTGGGATGTGGAGGGGGTGGGGCGACAGACATCTGAATGGGGTCCTTGCCGCTGAGCTCTCTGACTGACGTCAGAGTGGGACAGACCCACCAGCACCATGCATGAGATCCAAACACCAGCTATAGTGTGTGCGACGGCTGCCGTACCCAAGTACCATGGATTGGGTGGCTTTCACGATAGAAATTTATTTCTCATGGTTGTGGAGCTAGAAGCCCAAGATCAAGGTGTTTAGTTTCTTCCAAGACCTCTCTCTTTGGCCTGCAAACGGCTACCTTCTCACTGTGGGTCCTCGCATGGTCTTCTTGCTCTACCCACACGCATCCCTGCGGTCTCTCCGTGTGTCCTCATCTCTTATAACTCCAGTGGGATTGGATTAGGGTCACCCTAATGGCCTCATTTGAATCTAAGGCCCTGTCTCCAAATTAGTCACATTCTGGGGGCTAGGGCTTCAACATGAATTTTGGGGGAACACAGGTGAGCCCATAATCCCGATTTAAAATGAATCCGTCCATGCACTAGAGATGGACTTTGATCAGCTGCCCAAGGAGCTCTGAAGACTGGTCAGGTGAGCCACCTCAGGCAAATGATTTAACTTCTCCCAGACTCTGTTGAAACAACTGAAATGGGAGCATTTTGTAGGTGGTTGGGAAGATCGACTGTAAGGCCAGCGTCACCTTGGGGCAGTTTCTGACACAGTGCACGGTAGCACAGGCTCACGCTATTCTCCTCCCCCCACCCCATGTGCTGGAGGAGCCGCCGAGAGTTTACAGGGAGCTTTCACATCCACTCCTTTGATCCTTACCCGCGAGGTAAACTGGGGATAACTTCATTTAGAAACAAGAACTTGAGACCCCGGGAGGTTAGATGCCTTGCCCATACCACCAAGCCAGGACTGGGATTGGAACCCACGTGTGTCTGACCCCAGAAGCTGTGTGTGCACACCAACAGGCTCTACGGAATGAGCCAGCCCACCTTCATATAGGGGACGGAGTTAGAACCTGAGCCACAGGAGAGCACACGAGGGTCCTGCAGCCACAGGAATCCCCCAACTGGCTGCCCCAAGAGAGAGTGTTGGCCACACAACAGGGAAGGCACTGCAGAAAGGAGTCTGTTGGAAACAAGGAAGGGCGTCAATCAGCCACTTTTAAAACTTTGTTTCACGTGAGGGGTTTCCAAGGATCTGGAAGCTGAGGGCCTGGTGGGGGTGGGGCTGGGGGGACCAGGCAGGGGACTCACCATGGAGGGCCAGCCCGCAAGGCTTGGCGTCGGAGACAGAGGAGGGTGTGGAGGGAGGAACGGAGAGGGCTGGATGGGAGGCAGGAAGCCAGTGGGCTAGGCGAGCAACAGTGGTGGCCCTAGAGCCAGGAAATTCGGGTCAGGCTCGAGCCATTCTAAGGCGGTGGCCACCCCAGGACTCAGAAATGCAGCGGACATGTGGGTGACCTGGGGTCTGGTTCTGGGCCTGTGAGCGGCACTGGCAGGATCTGACCCACAGTATCTCTTGACCCGCAGGTGATCGTGTGGGGGAACTACGGGCGGATGGAGCGGAAGCAGTTCATGGGTGTGGCCCGTGTGCTGCTGGAGGAGTTGGACTTGACCACCCTAGCTGTGGGCTGGTACAAGCTCTTCCCCACCTCCTCCATGGTGGACCCAGCTGCGGGCCCCCTGCTCCGGCAGGCGTCCCAGTTGTCCCTCGAGAGCACCGTGGGGCCCTGTGGTGAGCGATCTTAGGGCCGGGGTTGGGGGGGCTCCCCGACAAGGCCTGGAGAACACCCAGCCCCAACCTGGGACCCCAGGCCCAGGGGCACATTGAATACAGGAGGACGGGGTTCTCCCCCACAGCGGGGAAGCAGAACGGGGAAACCTGCCCCCCAGGGCCCCTCCTCACCCTCTCTTTGCCTCCTACCCCCTGAGACCTTCCCTCTCCCAACGGGATTGGCTGCACTTTTGACTTGGCCGGTTCTTGACCTGGTGGATGTGGCTGCAATCCGGAGAAAGGAAAGACTGAGGTGGCAGAGCAAACCATCCTCCTGTCCCAGACACTGTCCAACTGCTCCCCCTTTTTTGCCTCCTCGGAAGCTCGCTGCCCGGAGCCAAGTCCAGAACCCAGCGGCCATCTCCATGGTGCCAATTACCAGCAAGTGTCTTTCCTGCGGCACCGGGTTCAGGCAGCTACTCCTGCCCCAAAGCCAATGGGGCAGCTTTGCAAGGATCCGGAGCCAGCTCTGGGGGGCCCAGAGCCTCCCACTTGAAGAGGAGCTCGGCCTCCCTCCGCCTGCCTATGGAAGGAGCTTTGCCGCAGCCTGTCTGAGTCCATCTGTCTGTCCCTTCCTGCCTGCCCCTCTTCCAGTGGCTCTAGGAATTGGGGTCCAGCAGGGACCAAAGGAAAGGAGGCGGTGCCCTGGGCCTGGCACAGACCCCCAGGGTGCCCTGCTCCGTGGGATTGCAACAAGCTAGTTTGGAAATGGTGGACTGGAAGGAACTGGGTTGTCTGCATTTTGGTGGAGGAGCTGCGGGACCTTGATTTTTGAGAACCCCAAGTCCAGAGAGCTCACCATCTCTGAATTTTGGGGACGCTGGATTGGAGAGGGAGTCTGAGTAAAGTTGGGATTGGGACTGGTGGTGCCAAGGCAAGGGTTTCTCAAATAGGAGAATCCCTCCTCGTTGGATGAGGTCAGAGGTCTTCTTGTCCACCCCTCTGCCTCCAGGCTAGGGGTCTGGGGAGGCAACAGAGCTTCCCTATTTTAGTTTTTTTAAACAAACCGTCCTGTACTAAGGGCAGAACCCACTGCCCCGGCCTCAACTACCTTGGCTCATGAGTGTAAGAATCAGGAGATTCCTTCTCAAGCAGGCCTGGGTAGCTGCCTTCCTGGCCCGGCCCTCCCCGAGGCCTACGGAAGCCCTTTTGCATGCTGGGAGGACACAGGCTGGCCCCTCTTTGTAGAAGCACATTTCTGCCACCTCCCGCTGGGAGGCACCCAGCAGCCCCCACCCCTCATTACCCAGTCCCTGCTGTGTAGGGCGTAGTCCAGGTTAGCTGGGTAGAGTTAGTGTTCCAGGCCCTGGGGCCTGTTCTTAGCTTGCATATAGTCCTCATAGAGCTCCAGGACGGGGTGGAGAGGAGACGGCCGTCTCCCCACTGGTCTGGGTCTGGGCCTGGAGCCTGGGTCATGGAAGGCCAGCCCTTCTTCCTCTTCCCTCCCCCCACCCCCAGGGTTGTAGCTGGAGCTGCCCCTTATACTCAGATGTTCTGATGTATTATCCTTGGTTCTGGTTTTATTTGTGAAGCACTCCTGAGGGTTGTGGGCCTCGGTGGAGAGGCCTGGGCTCCGTCAGACGATGTCTTCCACCGGGATGCCCAGCTGTGTTTAGTCCTGCCTCCTTGGCCTCACTCTAGGCTGTTGACCAGGTGATTTCTTCCACCTGGAACCCCTTCCTGCCTCTCCCTTCCCTCCCCTCCCCTCTACCTGTTTAAGCCCTGGGGAGCCTTTAATGTTCTGGATGAGTTATATCCCCTCCAAGGAGCTTCCCATGCTGCACTGGGAAGGGGAGACGGAGATGCCCCTTTCTTTTATCGATGAGCTCTCTTGAGCTTCCTGGGATTGTGCTGGGTGGAATCCCAAGGCTGGGGCAGGAGGCAGCAGGGCTCTGGATGGCCTCCAGTCTGAGGCCCAGAATCAGCCCCTCCCCTGTTTGTTTTTTTTAACCAGTGTGATTTCTCTGCTGTTCGTTTATTACTCACCATTTGGAATATTTTGAGCCAGGAGAGCGCCTTCTCTCTCTAGCCGTCACTGCTCTGCTTGTTCAGGGGTAGCTTTTCAAAAACGGGGCAGAGCCTGGCTGTCCCAAACAGGGAGAGAGGGCTCGGTGCACCCCCCCACACACACACCTGGCCTGAGCCCACCCTCTGGTGTCTGCACAGCCTTTATAAAGAGAGAGAGCACGCTCCAAAGCAATAACAACACCCTGGGGGTGGTCACCAAGGGCCCCCCTCAATGACTTTCTTGTTTGTTCTGTGAAATCTCAGTTCACCTCCTGGTGGGGTGGGGTGGGGGCTGGAGCCCTGTTTCTTTGTATAATTGTTGTGAGCACGTGCCCTGCTTCCAAGGGGCTCTGACCATTTGGTGTGGGAACCACTATCTGGCCTCACCAAGAGATGGGGGTTTGGGGAGGGGGGTGACTGTTCTCAGTATTAGCTTTGGGGAACCTTCAAGCCCAGCCTGTCCCTACTGCTGCCTGATCCTTTGCCCACTCACACTCCATCTGGAAAGGAGCAGAGACAGGGAATTGTAGAGATTTGGGAGCCGGGAGCTGGGGTCTATAGGGGCTGATTCTTTTTTCAATCACTGGGCCAAAAGTCACATGCAGGGGTACTGTGGGAGGAAGTCCCCATTTCCCTTTGCCGGAATCTGCTTTTCATACAGATGGGAAAGGGCCTTTGGGACCATTAGTGAAGTCCATTTTACAGATGAGGACCGAGGCTTGGCAAGGCCTGCCTCTGGGATCACCTGTGAATTCAATGGCACCCCCAGCCTGGGCTTCCTCCCACCCAAGGCTGAGCTGGAGCCAGAGCAGGACTAGATGGGGCCACCATTTCCCACAATACTTCCTCCTCCCTTCTCTCTGTAGAGCCTCCCAGCGGCCCAGAAAAGACGGGCAAATTGCAGCCCATCTGAGAGGTGAGGCAATTAAAGCCCAGAATCAGGAAGTGATTTGCCCAAGACCCCTCAGCAAATGATCAATGGGGACAGAACAGGGGCTCTGTCCTGCTTCCCTCCTTCCTGGGACCAGGAGCCACTGCCCAGGCATGTCTGCCATGATAAGTATTTGTGGCCTTTAAGCCCTGGGCCACCCAGCCCTGCTTGGTTCCATCTCTGAGGGCCCGGGTTTGGGGGAGAGAGTTGCCATAGAGACTAAGCTCTCCTGGGGTCTGGCCAAGCTGACTGAGGGTACACAGGATTTGGTCTAGGCCTCAATGTCTGGGTAGGGGCTCCCGCTGAGGGAGAGGTCATAACCCCCTAGGACCAACTTGAGGGAGGTGAGAAGTACCATTTCCTGCCTGGGGCTGTGTGAGGGTGAGGTGGCCGTGGTACACCTCATCTTCAGCCTCACAAAACCTTCACATGTAACCACATCTGACCTTCCTGTAGTGCTTTTCAGACTTCTGCTTTCAAAGTGCTTTTACGTCAAGTACATCCTCCCAAGAGCCCCTGGGCAGTAGAGGGGGCCAGCATTATCAGCCCCTCTTTAACGAGGAGGGAGCTGAGGCCCCGGGAGGGAAGGCACCTGCTAACGTCCCACTGTGGGGTCATGGCTGAGGCAGGACTAGAACTCAATTCTCCAGCAGTTGAGAGCTGTATGAGGAGGCAAGGCAGATCGTTTAGGGGGTGGTTACACACTTTACAAGCTGATTCACCATCCGGTTCCTTAAACCAGGAGCTCCTGGGCACCCTTCAGTGTTCAGAGGTGGCGCTGAGCCCCCCCCACTTTGGAGCACAGCTGTCGCGTCAGGCAAGGCCACCTGCATTTATTTATTGAGCAGCAGCTCTGTGCCAGGCCCAGGGGACTGAGCCCCCTCCCATTCCCCGTAACGATCCCCTCGGCTCTCTGGGAGGGGCCCCTTGTCTGCATAGCAGCACCTCAGAGTGGACGGAAAGCGGCCATGTCCACAACCTCATCTGACTCACACCCTGGCGGGCGGGCGGGCGGGGGGGGGGTTGGCCGACTGCCCATCATACCCCTAGCTTCTCTGAGGGCGAAGTGGAGACTCGAACCCGGGGGCCTCAGGCATCACATCTGGAACCCTTTCACTCTATGGCTGCCTCCTGAGGGGGTGGCAGGGAGGCCGGACCCCGGGTCCTTGGGCTGGGGGCCTTTCCATCCACCCACTTTTCCCTCACTCCCTCTCCGGGAGCAGGAGCTGCTCGGGACTTTGGGGAGGGAGGGTTTCCGGGGCCCCTGGGTTGGCGTGGGTCACGTTGCATTGTGTTCATGACCATGTAGCTCATGTTGAAAATTAAAAGTTTTTGGCTTTTCTAACCCGGCTCGCTCTGCCTTGTGTTGGGAGTTCTGAGAAGCCAAGGGTAGGTAGTGTCTGAAGGAGCTGAGTGCTGCGTGATGCCAGTATGCCCCACCACGGGCACCTTAGGGGGCAGGGCATGTAACCCTTCTAGAGACGCACGGGGGTGGGGGGCCTGGGGGGCAGGATTCCAGACGAACCCAGTCATATTATAGAGGGGGAAACTGAAGCCCAGGTAGGGATGACATTCCCCAAGGTCACATGATGGGCAGTTCCCAGACGAGGGCTCTTCCCACAGCACGCTCCTGCATCCAGGTGCCCCAGTGATGCCGTGGCTGTCGGCAAGGCCCCCCTCATCCTGCGGTGGCATGGCCAAGGACAAAGAGCTGCAGATTGGTGGGGGGAGGGTGTGCTTCATTCACACATGGGCCAATTTCACTTTACACCAAATTGAGCAAGAGAATGAACGATCATTTAAATAGTGCAGATTTGCCCACCCCGCCCCACTGCACAGGTGTTTCCCTGCCGTCCGTCCATCGGACCGTGCTTCTCCTGCTGTGCGGGGTTGGCCTCACTGCTAGGATCCCAGTGTGGAGAGCCGCCCATCTCCCCTGCAACACGGGAAGCCTGCCTCTTCTCGCAGCAGAAAGACGACCACCTGTTTCCACTCCAGGGGGCCAGCTGGTGACACGGGCCTGGGAGAGCCTCTCCTGGGAGGCCACGCCTTCCTGAAACAATTTGGACCACAAGGGATTTGCACCTACAGGGCGACTTGGGAGTCGCGCTTGTGCTTATGGTGCGGCTTTAATGTATTTTGGGAGAGGAGCGAGGGGCTGGCCACAGAGGGGAAGGACAGACTGCCCGCGGCTGAAGACGGCCTTGAGGCCACGGCCGCTCACCCCTCTCCAGGCTCTGGGGAAGGTGCACTGACAGGTGACCCGGGGCCCCGGCCCGAGCTGGGCTGTCAGATGGACTTGCGCCGGGCCGGGGACCTGCCCGCCCCGCCGCCGTCGCCCACAGCCCCAGGGCTCGAGGGGGCCGAGAAGCCCAGGTTGTCGCGGGCCCCCATCTGCAGCTGGTGCACGCGGGAGGAGACGGAGGTGGAGCCCCCGGCGCTCGCCGGCCGGCGGGGCGGGGAGCGGCCGCGGCTCTCGGGCGCCCCCGGGCGGAGCGGGCTGGGGCGGCGGGCGGCGCGCTCGGGCGCGTCGGTGCTGGCCGCCAGGAAGCGCAGGACCACGAGGTTGAGGAAGGCGCCGATGACCGTGAACCCCAGGAGGATGTAGAGGAAGCTGAAGGCCACGTAGGGCGGGTTCCTCTGCAGTGCCTCGTCGCTCTGCAGCGCCACGAAGTCGCCGAAGCCGATGGTGGTGAGCGTGATGAAGCAGTAGTAGTAGGCGTGGAAGAAGGTCCAGCCCTCGAAGTGCGCGAAGGCGGCGGCCCCGAGGGCCAGGGTGGCGGCGCACACCAGCAGCCCGGCCACCACCATGTTCTCGGTGGACACGCGCGGCCGCCGCAGCCCCAGGCAGCGCTTGGCCTCCAGCAGGAGGCGCCGCACCAGCGCGTTCAGGCGCTCGCCCAGGCTCTGGAAGGTGACCAGCGTCAGGGGGATGCCCAGGAGCGCATAGAACATGCAGAAGACCTTGCCCGAGTCCGTGCCCGGCGCGGCGTGGCCGTACCCTGGAGGGAGAGCGGAGGGGAGGGGGGTGGTAAGCGCCGGCTGCGGCCGCCCTGCCCGGGCTCCCTCCCCAGCCCCGGGGCCGGCGCAGCATCTTGAAATGCTGCTTCTAACTAGGTCATCCCCCGCTTTTGAAACATGGCGTGGGTATCCCTAATCGCCCCAAATGGTAGACAGCCCACCGTCCCTCAGCCGGGGAAGGATAAACAACCTGCGGTACACCCGTACAATGCAGTTCTGTGCAGAACAGAAAGGCATGAACTAGGGTTACCTGACGCCACAAAGGGTGGATCTCAGCCGCCTTATGCCGAGTGAAAGAAGCCAAGCTCAAAAGACTACATACTGCATGGTTCCATTGAAATGACATTCTGCAAGCATTCTGGCAAAACTGTGGGGACAGAGAGCAGATCTGTGGTTGCCAGCCATGGTGGCTGGAAGAGGGGGTAGGTAAACAGAAAGAGGCAAGACAAATTTGGGGGTGACGGAAGCCTACTCTATCTTGGTGGCGGCTGCAGTCGCCTGACAGGCCTTCATCTGTCAAAACTCGCAGAAGGCTGCTGCACTGGAAAATGGTGCATTTCACTGTGTGTAAATTATGCCTTGATTTAAAAATAAAGCAAAATCTTCCATGGTGCCCCAGTACCAGTTCTCACGTAGCATCTGAGCTCCTTGGTGATCTGACTCTGCTCCCCCCTGTCCAGCCTCACCCCATGTCGCTTTCCCAACCCGCATGCCCCACCTCCCCATGCCTCTTCTCAAGGTTTTTCCTCCCCTGGATTGCCCTCTCCCCCCATCCCACTGGTCCACTTCTCCTTCCCACATCCTGCTCCAAGCCAGCCCCCACTAAGCACTTCTTCAGCCTGGTGTAGCAATTCTTCCCTGTTGTAGGGGACCTACACGTGAGTGGGCGTCCTTGAATCCTGGACCACTGTGCCATCGCCGGGGAATGAACATTCCTGGAGAGAGGAGCGAAAACTTTCTTGGTATTCTTAAAGGGGCGCATAACCCAGGAAAAGTCAGGTGGACCTTCCCCCAAAAGAACACACCTCCTCTAGCAAATGGGCACCATCTGCCAAAACGTAAACACACAAACCCTTGAGCCGTGCAGTTCCACGGTGAGCCAGTTAGTCCTCCAAAGTACACACGTGTGCAAAGTGAGGTATGCACGTGGGGCGTCACTGAAGCATTGCTGCTCACGGAGAAAACTGGACAACCTAAGTGTCCATCGAGAGGGGTCTGGTGAAATAAATCGTGGTGCCAACCAAATAACAGAACCCTACACAGCAGTGGCTCAAACCGGGGGTAATTTTGTCCCTGAGGGGGACATCTGCCAATATCTAGAGACACTTCTGGTTGTCACAACCGGGAGGCGGCGGCTGTGTGCTATCAGCATCTACCGGGTGGAGGCCACGGCTGCTGCTAAACGGACAGTCCCTCATCAGAGTTATCCAGTCCAGCATGTCAATAGGGCCAAGGTCAAGAAACCCCACTCTACAGCCATGAAAAAGAATGACACGGATTTTTTTTTTTCCCAAGTAGCCCAACGCAGCGCTCAAACTCACGACCCTGAGATCAAGACCTGAGCTGAGATCGAGAGTCCGACACTTAATTGACTGAGCCACCCAGGTGCCCCAAGGTGACACAGCTTTTTAGGGAATTTATTTATTTTTTATTTTTTTTTATTTTTTTTATTTTTAAAGATTTTATTTATTTATTCATGAGAGACGGAGAGAGAGAGAGAAGCAGAGGGAGAAGCAGGCTCCCAAGGAGCAGGGAGCCCGATGCGGGACTCGATCCCAGGACCCTGGGATCATGACCTGAGCCGAAGGCAGACGCTTAACCATCTGAGCCACCCAGGCGCCCCGGGAATTTTTTTTTTAAATCACCAAAAAATATGAGGTGAAAAAAAGCAAGACACCAAACACTGTACAACCTAAATTCTCTATAATGGGTGTGTTTTAAAGGAACACAAAGGCAGAGAATGTATCTGGAAGGATGCACAAAGAACTGGTAACCGTATTTAATCCAGGGAAAGGAATTTATGGGTTGAGAGACAGGGTGAGAGGGAGACGTCCTTTTCATTCTATACTCTTTTGTACCCTGTGAGGTCCGTGTGCTGTGCGCACATATAATTCATTCAGAATATCAACACAATACATGTTGTTAAAGCCCTATGGCTCCACGTCCACATTTCTGTCGGATGGCCCTATCACTTTGCCTCCATCTGCTATTGGGGGAGCTCCTTGCGGCCACAGACCATGCCAATCGCTTCTCTGTATCCCTAGTCACCAGTGCCCTGCACAGAGCCTGACACAGACTAAGGGCTCAATGGATGTTTAATAATGATCATCATCAGTAATCAAATCAAACTGAAGGGGGTGCTGAGCGTGAGACAGAGGAGCTTCTTTGGCAGTAAGGGGCCCAGCAGTGCTGTGTCCAGCTGTTCGGGGGTATATCGGGCTTTGACAGAGTGAAGCGAACAATGATAATAACTAAGCATGCTAGGTACTCTGCATAGATTATTTTACCCTCCCAATAACTGTATGAGATGATACTATTACCCCCATTTTGCAGAGAAGGAAACTGAGGCTCAGAGAGCGGAAGCTGCCCAAAGGTCACAGGGCCTGAGCCATTAACCACTCTCCTCCGGCTTCTCAGTGCCTCTCCCATCCATGCAGAGCTCTAACTCCTGGGTTCTGGCTCCCAGCTCTCTGCAAGCCTGGCTTATGCAGCCCGGATCACACAGCTCAAGCTGGCGCCCCCAGGTGGCCAGAAAAGGCAAAACTCCGGCTATTTCCACTTAGTAGGTCCCTTTCCCCAGGCTCCCAGACGCCAGCGAGGAACCACCGGCAGAGAAGACCAAACCGAGCTTCAGCGGTCTCCAGATAGCATGGGGGTGGGCAGAAGAGGTGGATGGGGTCCCACCCACTGGGCACGGCAACAGGGAGTGTCTTGGGCTGAGCCCAGGTAGGGAAGCAGGGGTGCCCATGTTGACAGGAGAGGGCATAAAGGGCTGAATGGGAGCTGGGCCCACAGCTGGCAAACAATGAATTGTTATTATTACTAATTAATAGTGCCCATTTAGCCTCAGGCACCGTGCCAAGCATTTTACACACTTGACCTCGTTTAAACCTGGCAACCACCCAGCGAGGTAGCAAGAACTGCATTTGCAGTCGAGAAAACTAGGGCTTAGAGAGGTACATCCAATTGCCAGAGAAGACAGGAGGCAACAGAGATGAGAATGGAACTCTGGGCTAGGTAATTGCAGAACTCACTCAGGCTTTTAACCCACAGCTCACATCCACTTGCAAGGGCATTATGAAAAAAACTCTCCAATGCTCAGACTTCCAGAGTGGTGATCCAAGCCGGGGGGGCGGGGGGGATGCCTAGACATCCACAGCTGGGACCTGGGAAGCAGCTGACACCCAGCCTGGAGCCCTGCAGAGCCTGCTTCTCTCCTTTCCTGCTTCTCCAGGCTTCTGCTCAGCAGGTACCAGCCAGACGGTAGCCATGGCAACGGCTGACGGTCCAAATGCTGCAGAGAAACTGCTCTGGATCCCCGAGGGTGAGGTCCAAAGCTTGTGGTAATCAGTCATTCCTTCAACAAATATTTATTGAGTGTCTACTATGCGCTAGGCTGGGTACACTGCAGTGACTAAGAGACTAGATCCCGTTCTCATGGAGTAACAGAATAATTATAATACAAAAATCAGTCTCTCTTTCTTAGTGCTTTGTATGTGTCAGACCCTGCGCTAAAACTTTCTGCATACATTATCTCCTTGACAATAATTATCTCAGCCCAGCCCTGAGATAAGGCCTATTAGCAGCCCTACTTCACAGAGAGGAAAATTGAGGCTCAGAGAGGTTAAGCAACTTGTTTGAGGTCACACAGCTAGGGTGATGCAGCCGGGCAAGCAAGCCTCCGTCTCCAGCCACTCGCGCTTCGCCCCGCTCCATCTGTCTCCCAGCCCCCGGAGGTTTCCTGAGCACTCCCGCGTGCCACCTCTGGGCGAACTTGAGCTCCCGACTCCTCCCAGCCCCGCCCGCGTGGGACGCCGGCCCGCTGGGCGGAGGGCGGCTGAAATGACTGGTCTGAGGCCACCCGGCCGGGCAGAGGCAGAGGAGGGGTTCGAGCCCGGGGGGCCGGGGGGCGCGTCGCGGGGCCGCTCACCGATGGTGGTGATGACGGTGATGGCGAAGTAGAAGGAGCCGGCGAACTTCCACTGGCGGCCGGCGCGGTGCGGCTCGGCCTGCAGCGCCAGACGCTCCAGCTCGCGGTAGTCCTCGGCCGAGAAGCCGTACTTCCTCCGGAACTCGCCGCGCTTCTGGGCCAGCAGCCGCTGGCGGCCGCGCTCCGCCTCGGACTCGAGCGCGTCGAAGACGGCGGCGCCCGCCAGCAGGTAGGACAGGATGCACAGGATGAGCGCGGCTGTGCGCACGCTCTGCTTCCTCATGGCGGCGCCGCGGGCCCCGCGCCCCGGGCCGGTCCATGCGCCCCGACGGCCGCCCCGCGCTCCGCCCCGCGCGGCTGGAGCGGGCTGCGGGCGGCAGGACGCGGGGCGGAGGGGGGGGTGGTTGGGGGAGGACGGAGGCGGGGCCTCGGGGGGGGCGTGGAGGGCCGAGAGGGCTCCTCCTGCCGCCCCGCCCCATCGCAACCCCTGCCTTTGTTTACCCGCCGGCGCTCCGGGCCGCAGGTGTCTCTAAACAGTGACAGCTGGAGCAGAGCGCCCAAAGCCCGGGTCTGCAGATGTCCGGTCTCCACCACCAGGGTCCTGTGACCTTGGGCCAGTCATCCAACAAAACTGTACTGAACACCTACTGGGACAGACAAGCGTCCTGGGGTACATAGAGCTGACATCCTAGAAAGGAGGGTTGGCTGATTGACAGCCACACAAAGATCATTGGAGACAAGTGTGAGAAGGGAAACAGTTCCTGGGGGGAGGTGGGCACCGCCGGCTGAGGTGGTGCGTAAGGCCTCGCTGAGGCGTGACTGGGGAGGGAGCGTCCAGGCAGCAAGTGCAAATCCTTTAGTCAGAGAACCGGCGTGGCTGGAAGCGGGGGAATCAGGGTGCTGGGGAGGGGAGGAGCAGGGAGCCGAAGAAAGAGAAGGGACTTCACACAGGGTCTTACAGGCCCTTAGCCAGGAAAGGCGGTAAGCAGGAAAACAGACACACACCAGTGATTTGATTGACACTTTTTCAAAAAGAGCATCCTGGCTGTCCCGTGGAAAAGGGGTGCTGGCTAAGAGTGAGGCCACTTAGGAAACTGTAGTCCACGTGCGCGGTGGGCGGTGGCGCGGACCAGGGGCACAGCACTGGAGGTGCGGAGAAGCCGGCGGTCCGAGACAGGGTGGGGAGCGGGAGCTGGGCACACACAGCTAGCCACATTGCCCAGCCTCCTCTGCACTTGGAAGGGTCGCCAACGGCGACAACTCCCAGGCCTGGCCGGTAAACCCCTCCCCATGCCGTGCTCCACCCCTCGTCCCCCACCCACAGGCTGAATGCGGAGGTGAAGTCTTTAGGAGAAGGCACAGTCACAGGGTGGAAGGAGCCTGGGTGCCCAGATGACACCGCAAGGCCGCCCCCACGCCAGGCGCCCCGATTCTGAACTTCTGTTGTGTTGAACCCCTGAGCTATGGGCTCAGTCTGTCACCCCAGCTGGCGCACCCCTGATGTGCGGAGCAGGAACACCTGCTGGTGGGCTGGATCTGGAGGGCAAAGGGAGACTCCAGATGACCCCTGGGTCTTTGGCCTGAACAGCTGGGTGCTTGGGGAGCCTTCCGTTGACCTCACTCCCCAAGGAATCCAGTCCGGCTGCCCAGCACCAGAGTCCGGGGTGGGTCTTTGGGGAGATTCTGGGCAAACACCAGGCAGCCTCACCTGCAGGTGGGTGTCCAGAGCATCTGCGTGGCCTGGTCTCTGCGGCAGCCTTGGCACGCATCCCTAGTCCCCCCTCTCTACTCCAGCCTCTCGCCCCGCTGCCCTTTTGTGATTTATTTTTGTTTGTTTCAGCCACGCTGAACTATCAGCTCCTTGCACAAACTCTTGCTTTGCTTAGAACAGTCCCCTTCCCATCACACTCCAGAGCCCACATTTATCGAATGCCTGCCAGGGGCCAGACACCGGGTGAAGCACGTTGCCAGTATCATGCATTTTATCACCAGTCTCCTTACGCCGTAGGCATGGCTGGCTGACGCCCCGTTCGTCCTTCAGCTCCCAGGTTACTGGACGTGGCCTTCCCCGGCCCCTCCGCAGATGGCCTCCCTCTGTGCTGCCAAAGGCCTCTGAGCTCCTGCCCTCTTGCCTTCGTCCCACGGCACTGTGACCCTCCCATTCCAGATCTGTGTTCCTGCTGAGGACAGGGATCCTGTCTGGGTCACCTCTCTGTCCCCGGCACCCGGATCTGGCACAGCACAAGCCCAGTGACTGTGGACGGATGAGCAGCTGCAGCCTGTAGAAGTTAAGGGCATGGACTCTGCACCACGACTGCCTGGGCTCGTATCCCAGTCTGCTGCTTATCAGTGTGCAAACGTGGGATGACCCAGTGCCCACCCCCCCAGTAAAACAGGGTAGAGAATTTCCTAGCTCATAAGGTGCTGTGCCCCCCGCCAAAGATGCCCACATTCCTTCCCTGGAACCGGTAAGTAGGTTAGGATGCACAGCAGAGAGGAGGGAGGGTTGCAGGTGGAAAGAAGTTTCGCTGACCTGGAGACCGAGGTTATCCTGGACTATCTGGGTGGGCCCGGTGGCATCACAGGGGTCCTTATACGTGGACATGGCAGGCAGAAGAGGGACAACCAAGGAGATACGAGAAGGAATTGGCCTGATGTTGCTGGCTTTGGAGATGGAGAAAGGGGCCACAAGCCAGGGAGAGCCGGTGACTTCTGGAATCTGGAAAAGGCAAGGAAATGCCTCCCTAGAGCCTCCAGAAGGGACTGCAGTCCTGCCAATCCGTCAGTTTTAGGCCGGTGCGCCCTGTGTAGGCCTCCATCCTACGGAAGCGGGACATGGCGCCTTGGTGGTGTTCAAGCCGCTGCGTTGGGGATCATTTGTTTGAGGAGCAGGGGGGAATGACTTCAGTGATTGTGAGGAGGGAGGAGCCCAGAGGCAGGAAGCACTAAGAGCAGCATCTGGCCCCGAGAGGACTCCTCTAGAAGTGTTAACCACTGTTTCAAATATCACGCGCGAGCGAACGCCCGGGCCCGCAGGGACATTACAGCGTGTGCTCTGACTCGGTTCTGGGGCCGAATCGGGGGCCTTGCACCCCTGCTCCCCTGGGAAGCCAGACTGCAGCTCCGTGGCCCAGAAGCCTCATTTGCAGTAGTGACATCAGCTAGTTTGCTTTTCTGATTCCTGCCCAGCCTTCAGGGGAGCCAGAGGCCGGGTCACAGTCTCGGCGGCGGGGGCTGGAGCACTGTGGATTTACTGCCCGAGAGGGGTCTGAAAAGAGCTTTCCGAGGACAGTTAATGAGTCCTGGTCACTGACACAGCTCCTCCACTTTCTGGGTGGGGGAATGTGGCTAGAATACTTCGCTGGCCTTGGTTTTCCCACCCGAGAAACGCAGGTGATCATGGCCACCTCGTGGGACCGTGCCGAGGATCATAAGAGATCTTGTGTGTCACTTTCCAGAAGCCCGGCCACAGTAGCCGCGTTTCCTCCCTGTGTACAATTGACTGCCTGCTGATGTCAAGAATTCTTTTTCTGGAAGCACGTGTCTGTGCTAGGCATATCACAGACCTTACTAACGCAGCCCTCACTTCCCAGTGCGGGAAACCAAGGCACAGAGGGGAAGATGCCCCGCCTGCCAGGTCCTCCCGGCCAGGCGGCGGCCGAGCCAGGACTTGAGCTCAGGGCCGTGTGGTCCCCAAAGTCATGATCCTTCCAGTACACCACACCACTTTCTCAGGCCTCTTGCCCCCCCGGCTTTATCCTTCTCCCATTGCGCCTCTGGCCCCCACCTTCCTCGTCTCTAAGCTGGAGCTGAGGAACCCTGGCTGGCTGCCTCCAGCACTGTGAGGTCCCTGTGACACACAGCTGAGCCGCATCTTGTCGGGTGTGCCCGCTGGGGGTGGGTTTTATTGGGGCCATGGGGGAGCTGTCTGGCGCTGCCAGGCAGGTGACTCTGCCCTGTGCTTGGCATTTTGGGTTCAGCAGCTCTATTTTAAGCCAGAAGAGGTTAGAGTTGGTGGATGTGTGTTTCTCAGCTTGCAAAACGGTCAGCTGAGCAGTCATCAAGACCAGCAGCGCTCCAAGGCACCCCCGACAGCTGCCCCTCCCACTGCCTCCTCCGCTCCTTCCTCTTTCGGGAACCTGAGGGGACCCAGTGATTTTCGTCTGTCCCTTCATGCCAGAGTCACACGCGTGGCCCCTCAGCGAGGCCTTGGATCTTCTTCCAGGGCCCCAGGGTTGCCGGCTTTGAGGACAACGAGGAAGGTGATCCCAGTCCCCGGCTGGACCCTGGGCGCCATCCAAAGCACTCTGCATCCCTTATGAGTCTAGAGCCTTCTGAAAGCGTTGTGAGCCAGGCAGGCCTTGCTGTTCCCATGTCAGGGAGAAAACACAGACTCAGAGAGCAGAAGTGGCTGCCACGTAGGGTGGCGCAGGGCAGGGCAGAAGAAAGAACAGGAGTTTCTGAGTGAGCCAGGCCTCAGTTCCCTCTTGGACAAGTGACTTCACCTTCGCGCCTCAGTTTCCTCATCTGTGGCATGGGTGTAAAGATATCGGCCTCCCAGTATTTCTGTGAGGATTAAATGAAAGCGTGAAGGAGCACTCAGCACAGAGTAGCTGCCCAGCAAATGTTAGAACCCCTTATATACCCAATTAATTTTTTCTTTTCCTTTTCCACACTGCTTATTCCCCAGGCCTCCTGGGATCTTAAAGGATTGATTTTTATAGTTAGAATATAGTTCAGTAATTTTCCAGAAGCCCAGAGGGCCCAGGTGTTTTCCTTGATAAGATCTCTCTCTTATCTCTGTCCTAAAAGAATGGATTGTTTTGGCCTCAGGTATCAGCTCCTTTGAGATGGCAGCAGTAACCTTTCTGCAGCCTGAGTATCACTTAGGGATCCAGGCTGCAAGAAATCAAAAGCTGCCTCTTGCTAATTTAAACAACGTTATAGGCAGGATCTGGGGTTCTTGCAGAATCTTCCAGGCACTGGAAGACAAACTGTATGGTTTGAGGGAACCAGAGAGATAGAACCTACCACCAGGGAAACCCATAGCCATACCCAGTGTGGGGGGCACCATTGTTCCCAAGCTGATGCAGATACTACTGGGGGGACAAGTGGCAACTGTCTGAGCGTGACCCTGTCTCTGAATGTTGGGACCCACCAGAGCTGCTCAAAGGAAGTGAGTTTGTGGCCATTCAGTTGGAGCTTTTGGGATTTCTTCACTTTCCTGAGGATGGGTATCTTTAGGTTAATGGAGAAATTAAAACCTTTACCCTGATTAATAATTTTAAAAACGAATGATAGGAG